ACTCTAGGAAATAATTCAGTGAGTCAGGTGTTTTTACATTCAGATTTTAGAAACAAGGAAGCTTCTGTCAATACTTCACCTGAAGTCTGAATGCACTGAAAACTGCCATCACAGAGGAAATTCTCTGTGCCAAACAGATGAAAGGATGCATTAATTGAATCATCAGAATTGTTTTGTAAGTGTGTATGTGTACACTAACACAGGTACTAGGGTTTGCAATGTCTTTTTTTATTTTTTACCAGTTCTGGGGCTTGAACTTGGAGCCTGGGCACTGTCACTGAGCTTGCTTTTGCTCAAGGATAGCACTCTACCACTTGAGCCACAACACCACTTCCAGCTTTTTCTGTGTATGTGGTACTGAGGAATCAAACCCAGGGCTTCATGAATGCTAGGCAAGCACTCTACCACTAAGCCACATGCCCCGCTGCAATGTCTTTTTAGTGGCATTATTTTGTTATGAAAGATCAAGAGATATGATGGGTTAACTTTAATGAAGCAATGAGTCATTCACATTGAGCACAAAAGACGTTTTCCTTCTTCTTCCTCCACCTTGGGGTAAGTCTAGTTAGGTGCTAAACCAGCACCAAACTTCAGCCACAAGCTACAGTTCTGAGCTACACAGCAGCACTTCACCTTTGAGAATAGGAAGTGGGAAAGTCTATAATTAAAGGAAATTTTCTCAAAACAGCTCACAACTTCATAATGTTGCCCTTATTTTGCCATTTTATAGAAGATGAAATTTAGGACAATTTTTCCAGACTTTCACAGGAGAACCCAAACTTCAGTGAGTGACTTTCTTTTATTTTTAGGAATCAAACTATTAAATTAGATTTCAATTGTTTTGAAGACCCTGATAGTAATGGAATTAAAGAAAACTAATGATTAGCATGTTGCTTTTAAGTAGTTTATGTGTATATAACTAGACATAGAAACTTTTTGATCTACAATGTTTATTTGAAATAAAAATGATAAATTTGCAAAGTAAACATTCCAAGACAATAGAGAAATTTCCATCAAAATATGATTAAAGTTCATAATGTAGGAAGCATGAAGATTCAATGCCAAACAGTCCATGAGGAAAAAACTGATGATTTCAGATTTGGCAATTTCAGATTTTGGTAGTTGTGATCCTCAGATCCAGCTACTCAGATCCTGAGTAGCTAAGATTACAGGAATAAGCCTGTAATGCTTAGATTGCATTTTTAAACAGACTGAAAAGTAACTTAAATAATCTTTAAAAATAAAGTTAAAAATGCATTTGTGTTTTAAAGGACAGAAGGAAACTTTTCTTTGAATTTATCTGTACCTCAGATAAACTTAGCAAGCAATATATACTCCAAAAAAATCTAGGGATAGGCAGGGTGTTGGCAGCTCAAAACGATGAAACTGTAGCTGGTCAGGCAGCTGAGATCTGAGAACTGAGGTTTGAAGCCAGCTCAGACAAACCCATTTGAGAGACTTTTGCCTCCATTTAACTAGCAAAAAGGCAGAACTGAAAACACGGCTGGTAAAAAAAAGGATGAGAGAGCTCAAGGCCCCGAATTTTAGGCTCCAGTACTGGCCACCCCACCCCCCAATCTTGGGATAAACAAATTTGGTAGTTGACCAATAAATAAAACATGACACAGCAATATAGACATGATTTCATTGTTGTGTTTTTCTGTCTTCTGTATTCTCAATGAAAACACTTAGAATGTTTCTGTTGGGGAAATTTAAACATAGAAGGTCAATTTGGGATTGTCTATGGAGATCTGCAAATTGACAGGAGTTTGAAGTTGTCTTTTTTTTTTTTTTTGGTGTGTCATGGGGCTTGAACTTTGGGCCTGGGTGCTGTCCCTCATCTCTTCAGCTCAAGGCTAGCACTCTTATCACTTGAGCCACAGCACCACTTCCAGTTTTATGGTGGTTTACTGGAGATAAGGATCTCACAGACTTTCCTGCCAAGGCTGGCTTTGAACAAGAATCCTCAGATCTCAGCCTCCTGAGTAGCTAGGATGATAGGCATAAGCCACTGGTGCCTGGCTATTCTAGGTCTTTTTAAAAGGGGATTTTGGCAACAAATGTAATTATTACATGCTCAATTATTTAATCTAGCATTACTCCTGCTTGATAGAAATATTCAGAAGTGTGAATTAACTGTAGGTGACAGTTTTTGTTGCTACCTACTTAAAATATTTTCTATTAATTTTATGGTACTTTATGTGATTCTATAAATACTATATTGCCAAGACTAAAATTTGTAGATGGAATTTTTGTAAGACATTTGTAATAACCAATTTGACATCTCCATGAAGCAGCTCATATTACTCATAGATCAGAAAACAAGAAGTTATATAAATTTCTAAAATCACAGATATTAAAGATACTCCCATTTTTATGTTCCAACTCATACACTACTGAAAAACCAAGTACATTACTTCTTACTGAAAGTATCCTACAACTAAAAAAGGCAAGAACACTGGATTTTGATGTTCTGTAATCTTAGCTAAGTATGAAAACAGGCAAAGGTAATCATAATTTGCTAAGGTTTATTTTTATGTAGATTTCAATTTTGATGTAAAGTTATGTTAAATAATTTTAAATATTTATTATGGCTGTTTAATGTAATCAAATGGCATATTTCTTGGTCAGACCTAGTTTAGAGTCCTGTCTAGCACTTATAGGCTGTAGAATGCTCATTTTATTCATTTTTCAGGGGAGTTAAAAATGTCTACCTTGTTGTGTAAATAAACATGTAGTATTAAGATTGGCACCCAGATGATAAGGGTCCAATAAGTTTTGGTATTATTAAGATCTGGAAACTAGAAGATAGTTTATGCAAGATTGAGTTATATTCAACCTTTTTAAAAATGGAAAGTATAGAATTAAAATGGACAAATTCCCTTCTTTTCCATTCACATTATTTTCTCTTGTCACCAGAAGAGATTTCTTTTTACCCATGGCAGCCTTTTCTTTGGACTTGAAGGCTAGGAACTAAATGGAGGATGCATCTAATATGGCTGTGAGGTTTGGAGCTTTGTAAATGGGTTGAGGCAGAAACTAAAAGGTTAGAGAAGAGGTGTGTGTGTATGTTTGTGAAGGGAAAAGGGGTTAAGTCTGCCGTGGGATACATAGAATAGACAAGGTTCAAATGATGTCCAAATGAAACAGTCTCATGATGCTGAAGATAGGTGTTTGACTTGTCTTGAAGATCAGGACTTGAAATTCAAATACTGAGACAGTTGTCATAATGTATTTGCAATCACAAAATGTGATAATTAGTATAAATATAACACTAAAAAACCATGATGTCAGGCAGGCATGTAAAGCAGAGAATACTTTAGAGATTATTTCAGTGCTGTGTCACTTGATACTAGAAAATTCGCCTTCATAGGAATGATTCAGAGGGAAATGCCTTGTCTGACAGACTGCTTCTAAAGGAAGCAGAAAACCACTTTGCATTTTAATGAATTACTCAGCTACCAGAGTTATTTTTTTTATCTGTAATATATTAAACACTATAGCACTGGCGTATGCATTATTTAAAAAAATTAAATTCCATTTCTCCTTTAATACTATAATCAAGTCCACAATAAATAATAGTCTTTCTTCCCATCAGCCTCCAATCAACAAACAGATGCATTATCAATTTTGAAAGGAAAAAAATCCTCAACTTTCCTTTTCAGACAGTTATTGTACTCAGTTTTATATCAGAGTCCTTCTAAAAAGACCATAGCAAAAAGTCCTGAAATAGTACTACAACACTAAGTTTTGAAGTAACACATTTGTCAGTTCTCATTTGTAGCTGCTGTTCCCTTCGAGGAAGTTGTATAATGAAACTTGGCTTTGTTCAATCTCCTATCTTATAAGAAACATAATCTTCTTAGGGAAAAATAAATAGTTCTTTAGTATTATGGCCATTCATCTTGCTATTCGCAAACAGCTAAATCTACACTTGACATAGAGATAAGAGACTACTCTAGAAGGAACATAAAATGTAAATGCTAACAGACTGGTTACCCTAGTATACTTGAGGCCAAGCCAAGTATATTAAAAGTTCATCCAAAACTGAAGAACAGGTTAAATTGTATTCAAAACTTGCTCAAAGGGCCTGTGCAAGTCCATAATTCCCACATGAGTGCACAGAACCTTTTTCCAAGTCATTTTTTATTATAGTAAGATATAAAATTTATATAAAATTAACCACTGCCGTGCTACCATCACCAGTGTCCACCCACCATTTCGTCACACAAAACCTCGGTGAACTCGTCTTCACCGACTGCAGCCTCACCCTCGAAGAGCGAGCAGCAAGGGCTGTCCCCACGCCTCCGTGAATGGAAGCTGGGCCTCCCCGGCGGTCTCCAAGCTCTGGGAGTCACCAGAAGCTTCCAGATGGGCACCGCTCGCGGCCGCCCCAGGTTCCCGAGGACGCAGACCCCGCGGGCCCGGTTCTTCTAGCCGGGAACAGGGAGGGCTGGGAGAGAAGAGCAGGGGCCGACACCACCGCTCCGCCCGGGCCGTGCCTGTCCCCGAACCCATCCCCCGGCCCCGGCCCCCTGCTCCGTCTCCGTCCCCATCCCCCGGCCCCGGCCGCCGCCCTCACCCGCTGGGAGAAGCGGGCATCCCACACCACCACTCCGGTTCCAGCCGCACCCACACAACTCCAAACTCAAATCCCGCAGCCTCCCACGGGCGCGGGCGCACTTTAGTGACGTAAACCTCCCATTCTCGCGGGAGGAAACGGGATCCTAGCCGGGAGAACAAATCTGGAAATCTCAGTCGATGCTGGAGTCGGACGGGCGGCGGCGGCGGCACCAGCACGGAGGGGCGGAGCGAGATTCGGGGGGGGCGGGGCCTGCCCTCAGAGAAGGCGGGGCGAGGCAGGGAGGAGAGGGGGAGGCGGGGGCGGAGGGAGAGGCAGGGGGTGGGGCCGCGCGGCCAGGACCTGTGGAGCGCAGGTAGCGCCGCCGGCCGGGCGGCGGGGACGGTGGACAGACAGCGTGCACTGCGCATGCTCGCCGGCGACTCCGGGCCCGAGGCCGAGAGACGGTGACTGGCCCGCGGCGCTGACAGACCCGCGGCGGTGACGGGGCGACTGTGGTGGTCGCGGTGGCTGCGATGGCGTTGTGAGTGGGCCCGGGCGGGATGGTGCTGACACGGGCAGGGTCCGACTCCGAGCCCCTGGGTCCGATGGCGGAGACAGGCCCGAGCCGGCGGGGCGGTCGGTGAAGCCCCCCACCGGTGGCGAGGCGCCTCCGCCCCCCGGCCCTCACCCCTGTCCTGGGCCGGGCCGGA